GAAGACACAAGCTTTCCATGTACAAGTCTTAGGCTAGACTCATCTAGTCATACATTTTCGACTGTTACTTTTTTTTGGCTTGCTGCGTTTCATTGGAGACATAGAGACACTTAGCAAATGATTGCTGCAGTTTTACAGAGCTCCTGCAAGCACGGATCTGCTGCTTCTTCAAGTCTCAAAGCAGAGCTGATGGAGGGGAACATAGAAACAAGTTTCAGTTACTCCATGCAATGTCTGTTGGTGTAATTGAGCTGCTGCAGCAGATTTGTTTCAAACTAAGCTACAGGTTGTGGCACTGGAAGGTCTGAAGAACACAAACACATGTATCCATACAAGCCAGCTGGGTGGAAGAACAGCAAAGGACAGCATGAGCAGTAACTTCTTAAACTACCATGGGTAGATTTGCTAAGTTACACATGCTGACATGCTAATTTTCTGTTAGGCTAACTGGGAAGTCCACAGGCAATCCTCAACACATCATTAACATCATATCTTTGAGCGTTCTTTGAGCATGTTACTAAAGTTTTGTAGCACTTAATCCACTGTCCTCCCTCATCCAAACTTGCACTTTAAAGGTATATAGGAAATGTCTCTCTACCTTGGCACTAACTTTTGCTTGGATCTCCCTCCTACAGGCTTTTAAATCTTGCATTTCACAAGTAACTGCTTCCATGCTGCCATTCCTGAACTGAAAAACTTTCTCTCCCTCGCCTCAGAAAATTAGTTTTTCTCTCTGCCTCATATTCTTTCTTTAAAAGTAATTATTATTGAAAACGTTTGAACAAACCTCCCCAGCTTCCAGATGGCACATACTTGATGTAGCTCTGAGAATGCTGCCTTGGGCAGTTGCCAAGCTGCTGCCAGGAGGACCAGTCCCTCTCCCACCACCCAGCCCCATTCTCCTGCTGTTTCCCACAGCAGCCATCAAGCTTGTGTGCTGATCACACTGAAAACTAACCAAGGAAAAACAGCTTTTCCAGGTTTCTCACCAACTTGCCCTATGATTGCTGGCAAAGGCTGCAAGGGATCTGCAGCCCCCAGACTAAATTACCCTTTGTGAATACCTGTCCTATCCTGTGTCTGCCCCTTATACACAGAATGTGTATGTGGCACCATGAACAAGGTAGTCTAGAGTTTCTATATGTTTTAGTAGCCCAAGTCTCATTTTCAAATGCAAATTAAGCACTTTGGCAAAGGTTATACTAAAATCAGTGCAGTTTAGAAGGCCTACTTGAGAATAGGATTTAAATGCCGAAGATGCCTTGCCTTTTATAAAGTATTCTCTCTGAACTATGCCAAGTGCATTTTGCTTTCCAGGGATTGATTCCAAAGTGCAGAGCTGCATCTCAGCCTGTCTAACTGAAATCCAAACCTTCAGTACAAACATGTCATCACTTGTAGTCCCTCATGAAGATTTCAAACTGGATACACTGAAGTTGCAAGGTCAACACCTTTAGGAGCAAAACGCAGCTTGCAGCATAATCTTTATACATAAGCCACGGGATATTTTTGCTCCTTACTTGCCAGTTCAGACTATTTTAAAAGAGAATCCAACAATTGTATTTGTTCTGCTTTGGAGCTGACTGCTAAACTGATTCTATCATAATAAAATACATCTTCATAAATAATATGTATTTATAGAGTTTCTATGAGGGCCTTCAATGTTAATTTCAGATATCACTTTGCCAGAGAAATTAGGGGAAGAATACTAGCATTGTATTTCCTATGAAAATTTTACAAAAGTGTCAAATATATCTATACAACTTCTTAATATTCTTTAAAATTTAAAAATATTTTTAAAATCTATTCTGCAAACAAACCAGTTTGTGTTTTGTTTTCTTGTGTTTTTTGGTTAGTTGGTTGTTTTGTTTGTTTGTTTGTTTTGTTGTTGTTGTTGTTTCCTTAATGGCTGTTTAGCTCTAAGTTGATTCCTGTCACAGAAGCTTTTTTGGGAAGTACTTGAGAATTTTATGAGTCTTTGTATTTTTATTAAAATATATCTTTACAAAAATGTACTGATTGGAAGTGCGTACTTTATTTGAAAGTGTCAATTTAACTGCTCTTTTAAAATGTTGTCTGTGTGGGTGCATGGTTATAACTAATTAGGAGAATGGACAGTGTCTCAGGTGGTACAAGGTGTTCTGATGGAAGGTTGGACCCGATCAGTTAATGGTGGGCAGGTAATTGACTTCTTTGAAGAGGTATTCCTAAATAACTTTACTGCTAAAAGAGCAATTGCTAACAATGTTTTTCCATCCCGTGTTCAGGAGTTGAAAAATGCACCCATCACTCATTAGCCCAAAGTCCGAGTCAGCTAGACAGCGTGAAAAAATACCTGGCACTCAAAGCTCACATTTAGCCTCAAAGCTGTGTCCTGCCACTCAACAGGAACAAAACAGTCGTGCACTGTTTGTGACCTTCCTTTTCCTGTAACACAGTGTCAATCACATTGGTATTTAATCCTTTCCAAATTATAACATGCATCTCTTGTGCTTTAATTTTGCTTCATTACATTCTTGATCTTCTCTTCTTTGATTCCTGACAAAAGAGGACACTATCTTTCTCCATTAAATTCAGGATTTCACCTGAAATGTAGGATGTTTGTGATCTTTTCTTAGTTTTGCTTACCTTCTTGACAATGTTTTCATGCATTTATTCTGATACTTTGTAGTCTCTGATTTCTTTTCTGGGTTTTTCTCTCCAAAATCCCTGTCTCTTTCAATACTATTATTTTTATTTCTAATGCATAATTTCACTTTTCACTTTCTACCTACCAAAGTTAGGCAAAATGGGAGAATGTCTGTGATGTTCCGCAGCTTGTGTTGGTCCCAAGACCTTGCAGAGTAAATTAAAATTACAAGTCCTTAAATCGTCTCTAATGACCTTGCAGAGTAAATTAAAATTACAAGTCCTTAAATCCTCTCTAACTGTGAGTTCTAGGACGTAGCAGTGTCATCTTTCCTGCCTCGATCTTTTTCCTGAGAGAACTGAATTTGGAATTTTGATGAGTTATTCCTTCTTTCAACAGCTTCTGTGAGAAGCTGATCTTGTACTCCTTCCTTTAATTTTGTGGTTTCTAAAGAAATTGTTTCTTTTTCCAAGATTTCTATTTTGAATCCTCTTCTCCAGCAACTTGTTTCTGTTGCCATTTCTAGTTTCCAAGCTGGAGGAGGAGGCTATTGACCTGATGATTTTCACTGCTATGTTGACAACTCGAGCTTAAGTTTTCTATTCATGGACACTTTGAGAAGTCACTGAGCAATGGAAGAGTAACTACAACAGGGAACTTGTGAATTCAGGAGAGTGTCCCTTCATTAGCTTGCACTCAGTTCATATTTGAATCATTGAATACCGTTGAATAGGTATTTGGATGGACAGTTCCCTTTAGTTTTAAACAATTAAAATTAATTTTTGTGAATGGTTTCGGCTTTTTTTTTTTTTTTTTTTTTTGTTTAGCTTGGTTGATTTTTAAAGCCTGACAACATATGCTCACTGTTGTAGTTTCAGCTGTGTCTGTACATCTAATACATTTTGTCTGCCTGAGAAGAAAATTCACTGTATGAGGATTAAATATAACAAATGTAGTATTGTTTTTCCTGTGCTGGTTGTTTCTCTTACTCCTCTCTCTACCACAAGGTAACTAAGTGTAGAAAACAGAAAGGTACCTTTTACAGTAAAAGTACATGTCGTACAAGAGCAAAAGATCACACCTTCTTCTTCAAAGCATTTGAAAAGTTTCTGAGGTATTTTGCAAAGATGGGTGTTTTTAAAAATCAAGAATCCACAGCCATCATGTGAGGCCAACTAGACTTCTTCAGCTTTTTTCTTATCTGAGGTTGCTGACCTCAGGAGAGGAGGAGAAGGTTACAGGGTCAAAGTCTTTTCCTCCTTGGAGCTTGCTGCTTGCTGGGAGAGGGTTGGCTGGAAAATAGATGTTTTAGAAAAAGGGTTGAGGGTCATGATTTTAATTCTGTTAGGCAACAGCTGGTTTGAGTTTCTTTCCACTTCTATCTTCCCTCCCTTCCTCACAAATCCATGGAGAGAGAAAAATTTGTTAAGAGGAAAGCAGTAACACAAAAATAAAGGTCTGCAGTATTTTAATGTTTAAAATAAATTATGTTCATAATAGAACTTCACATTAAGAGAGAGTAGAGGAAATTATTAAAATAATTGAAATTCATTATTGTTTCAAGCATTTAATTGAAATTGATCTAGAGTGCCAAGGGTTTGTTTGTTTTCATGCCAAAAGTTAAATTGTTAATAGTAATGTTCTAATGGCTTTTTTGGTGGATAAACAATATGCATTATGATTTTTAATTCGGTGATGGACAAAGCTAATTATGAATGTGTTGCGTTAGTTTGCATACCAGTCACTGAAGAAAGATGCTTTGGTTTGGCTATTTCTGTTCAGATTTTCTTCATCTTTGCATGCTGCTTTCATGCACTAAGACCAAAGAGAGAGAAGGAAACTCACAACTCTCAAATGAATGGCAAACTAGGAACAGATTTTTCGTCTGCTCTCCTCTGAAACACTGGCCTCAGGCTGTGTTGGTGTGTGGCTCAACAGCAATCAGAGGTCATAATTTCATTGGCGGTTAGCATCAGGTTTAATTTTTCTAATATGTTACATTTACCAAAATGTCTGGTTTCAGTTACACTTATGCACTGACTGAATCAGCTTTGAGCAGCATGATGTTTTAAGGTACCTGAAAGGCTACAAGGAGGTTTATGGAACACATATGCTAATTGTTTTTAACCACTTTCCTTTCTAAACACAAAAATGTGTTTTTGGAAAGCTATCTAACAGTAGTAGTTAATGGTGTTGTGCATTTATTCTAAAAAGTGAGCACAAGGAATAGGTAAAATAGTTGTTTTAACAAGGCTGCCATCTACTGATTTCTACAGTTAAAATATCTCTGATGAGTAGATTGTTTATAGCTTTTTTTATAGCTTTATTTTCAAGATTTGTGAGACCAAGAAAATTCTTTCTGTTGCCTTAGGAATGCGACCAGGTTCACATTGATGACGTGTCTTCAGATGACAATGGACAAGACTTAAGGTACAAGAGAACTGAGCAAGCTAAAACGTTGTTCTTTCCTGGGGGAGCTGTGAGCTGCCCTAACGCTTACAATAGCCCGCTGCCTTTTTAGCTGCTTTAGCCTTTGCAACCCAGCAAAGTGAGCAGCTGGTGGTTGAATGTAGCCGGTTGCCTTTTGTTAATCTGGGGTTTTTCTTATCTCTGACTAGCACCTATAACTTCGGAACAGATGGCTTCCCTGCAGCCGCCACCAGCGCGAACCTGTGCCTCGCGACAGGGGTGCGCGGGGGAGTGGACTGGATGCGAAAGCTGGCTTTCCGCTACAGACGAGTAAAAGAAATATACAATACCTACAAAAATAACGTTGGAGGCAAGTGACTCTGAAGCATGTAACAAATACAGATGAGAAGCAGTAAGAAGGAGGAACTTTTGGATTCTGTTCCTTTTTTAACACAGTAGTGTTCAGTGAGCTGTTTGGTTTGCAGTGTGTGGAAATTTGTCTCTGAGCTAATGAAAAGCCAAGGAAAATGACAGAATGTTACTTAATTTTGGTGCAGACATGCCCTTATCTACTCCACAGGTCTTCTTGGTCCAGCAAAAAGAGAGGCTTGGTTACAGCTAAGAGCAGAAATTGAAGCTTTGACGGATTCTTGGTTAACGCTTGCACTGAAAGCACTCACCCTTATTCATTCGAGGTGAGTAAGAAGAGTACAGGCTAGTTAGGAAACTTTAGAATGTCTGCTGATGATCTAGAAGAGGCTACCTGGTCTGGTGGGCAAAGTGCTGAACCTGGGGGACGTTATTCTTATTCCTTGTTCTGGTCTGATTGTGCTCCTCTGTACCTTGCTCTCCTGTAAGGTGGAAACATTTGCTTTCTTTGTATGTGGCAGTAATGGTGAGGGGTTCTAATGGCAGGGAAAAGGCTTCCCTTGTTCTCATTTGCTTTGTTAAAAGAAGGATGTTTGCATTTTCTCTTCTATAGGACAAACTGTGTGAACATTCTCGTAACAACTACTCAGCTAATTCCAGCTCTGGCAAAAGTTTTGTTGTATGGACTAGGGGTTGTGTTTCCCATAGAGAATATTTACAGTGCAACTAAAATAGGTGAGCTATTTTTATAATATTTTGATACATTTTAAGCTGTATTTCTAAATAAAAAGGGTATTGTAGTCTATTTTTATTTCTTATATGCATTTACTGCAGTAAATATACAGATTAGTAGTACCTGATCTTGTTAAACACTTTTCATGCTAAGACATCCTTAAAGTGCTTTTCAAATGTTTTTCATGATCCAGCATAGAAATCCAGCTTCATATAGCTTTAGTAACACCCCTGCAGTCTCTGTTAGAAGGATATATAACTGCTTTTTTGTCACCATTTCTCAAAGCCTTGAGGCTATGTAGCAGTTGAGAAGGCTTTTTAGTAGGCAGTGAGTACAAAATGCTGAAGTCTCCCTAGATTAGCAGAAAAAATTCTGTTAAGGTATGCTCTGGCTCCATTTATTTTCATGGGCTCTGGAGCAAATTTTGCTAAACAATTTACCAGAAGCAAGAATGTTTTGCTGCAGAATATAATTATTTAAGTTCATTCATACTGACTTTAATAAACTTCAGCTAGGAAATGTTTATTTCTGTTTTCTGGTTCAATATAAAGGATGTTATTCTGAGTATGTAGAAGTACACAGGACCAGATGGCAATGGTGCTTGTAGTTTTTAACATGGTTATGACATATCTGTGCTGTCTCAGATTCCCTCAAAATTCTGGGCTACATGAAAACATTATGTGTCCTTAAGTATCTATAATACAGGAAGCTCAAAGGGCTGAGGAAAAAAAAACAAAAACAGTGGGTTATTTTTGTTTGGTTTTGTTGGTTTTTTTTAAAAAAAACACTTTGTTGAGAGTTTTATGTAGAAATTCGAAAGCATCACCATAAAAGATTTAAAACTGTTTCCTGGATAGAAATGTTATGGTACCATCTGTCAAAACTGTGAAGTAAATGAAAAGTTTTAATTATAATGCTTCAAATACACATTTTAATTAAAACATGTTTTAATAAATATTCACTGTAAACTTCACATGCACAAGACAGAAGGGTATTTTTGAAAAACTGCATTAAGTCACTGACTGTCACAGGAAATCTTGAGGGTTTTTGTAACATGATACGATTAATTGTTTTCAAGCACCATTTCTATCTAGTTAGTGTTAGAGGTTTCTTATACTTGGCACTAGTCTTAAGGGTGTCACTGCATAGTTTGGCTTCTCTGCCAAATCTTTCCAGCCTATTTGTTCTTATGCTGGTGTTGTTCTGTAGCTGAAATATCTATTTTGAAAAACACAATTTTTCCTGTCAGTTGCTGAAGACATGCAGGCAAACATGTACCATGACCATGACTGAAATGATCTTTCAGAATGGGGGCATTTGAGAAAACTCAACTATAAGCATTCTTTCTAGCTTCCCAGTATCAGTACCTGAAGCTTCTCAGCATTGGTACCTACATGTAGGACTGGAGCACTGGGATCATGTCCATAGGTCTGTGCAGTGAAGCAATGAGCCACGTTAATGGATCCCAGTGCAGGATCAAGGACCTTGCCCATGTATTGGATTATAGGTATTTAAATCTAAATCTTCTACGTGACCTCCTAAGTCAGGATACTACTGTTTCAGGAGCTGTGATCAATCTTGTCAGAGATTGTGGGGAAAAAGCTAGAATTTCAACTCAGAGTCAATCAATTTGCTCAATTTAGGATATCTACCATAAATAGACAATGGAGAATTCTCCTGGTAGAGAAATTCCCACCAAAATCTGCCTCAGATTAGGGAAGGAGACAAGAAAGGTGATATTGCAGACCTCTTGTCTGCCATGTCTACCATGGTGTGTGTACTGAAGGACTTAACGAAGCAGATTTTAAGGCTGCCTGTCAGTTGCAATCAGCCTTGATACACCATCCTGCAGGAGAGGCTCTTCTTTCCCAATAGCTCTAATTGTGTATGCAAAGTGCTGAGGAGAACCAGGCTAAAAAACTATTTATTTAATGTCATTTCATCCTTACCTATCCTGAATAGTCTGATCTTTTTCTTTCAGGAAAAGAAAGTTGTTTTGAGCGAATAATTCAAAGATTTGGAAGAAAAGTAGTGTATGTTGTAATAGGGGATGGTGTTGAAGAAGAACAAGGTGCAAAAAAGGTAATGACCCTTTTTCAACTAAAAGGGGTTGATTTCAGGAGTCTGATGAAAGCAAAATTGTCTTTTCTTCAAAATGGAACAACATGCATTGACATTTGGATTTTGTATCTGTACACAGTATGTTTTGACCGTATCTAGTAGAGAGCTGCATAAAACTGTAGATAATAATGTGCCCTGCTGATATCCAAAAGACACACTAAGCTGGCTAAGTATGTTTGATGTATTTCAAAAAGGAGCCAGAAAATGGACCCTGGCTTTTGTGCCAAGAGCTAATAGTTCTGTTTTCATTGGCATCCCAAAATACCACATAGGATGTTATGAATATAAGCAAAAAGATCTGCAATTCTTGCTGATCAAAGACATGTGCTATTTGACTATGTGAAATATGTATATGTCACACATTGAAAAAGTGTATAGGACTGGAGTATGTTTACATACATTTCAGTATTCTTGTGCATCCATAATTTGGATTCTTTGTTCAGGTAACTGCTTGTGGCTTGTCCTACATTCATAACTTTAGTTCACTAATCACTATTTGATTATGCCTATATTATTTTTTGTGTTCCTTTGGGAAGAAGATTACTTTTTTTTTTTTTTTTTTTTTTTTTCCTTCTCCCCAGTGTAGAGTAAGCTCCATGAAAGGCAATACTGACCCTGGCAGTATTCCTAGTTTTGCTATTCTACACAAGTACAGTAGATCAGGAGTCTTTGCCTGAAGGAACAAGGCATAATATTGGCTATTTGAACAATAGGAGAAAGAGTAGGAAAATGGGGCTTTCTGGTTTTGCTTCCTCTTAAAGGTAAATTGCTTTTAATGCAGCTGCTTTTTCACCATGAAACTCTCTGTGGTACCTTTAGATCTGTTTCCACTGTAACTTTCTAAACTGGAGAAGTGAAACTAATTAGTCTGCATGGTGTTTTAACAACCATTGACTGGTGTTGCTTCATGAAATCTATGTTTTGAGCCCCCAAAGCGTGGTGGGTAGGTTCCCAGCTTGTCTTGGCATTTCGCAGAGTCTCAGTTTCATATATCCCTTTGGCGGACTGACGGGAACAGTTTGCTCCTTTCTCCTTCAGAAACGCCTTTCATCTTTGCAGAGAAATGTTTTCCCGCTGTAAATGATTACTTTTTAAAAGCTGCATTTAAGATCATGGGGGGAAAAAAAAAATTCTTCTCTTTGTTCCTTTTCTGTTGCTCGGTGAAGTAGTGTTGTATATGATAATGGCAGGAGTAGTCCTTTTGGTAACATTATCTAATTCAATGCTTTTTTCAACAGGAAACATGATTCAGAAAAGCATAAGAAAAAGCCTTTCCAGTCACTAAGAGGAGTAGCAGTATAGAAAGTTCCTTTGTACCATTACTTCTGTGTATTCTCTCTCAGTGGAAGGAATTTTCAGATTCAAAGCATACTAGATGCTCTGGATTAAATTATCTGCTGCAGCAGTGCCAGAGAAGTCAATAAGTAGACCAGCAGCCTGCCTTTCTGCAGAAACTATTAATTTGATTAAGGAAAATGCTTCTGTGATTCTTGTCCTGCTTCTTACTACAGCAAAAAAGAAATAATCATTTCACACTGTGAAAGCAAGATTTGCATCTTAAGTTTTGGCCCTATGCAAGAGCAAGAACCACACAGTGCCTCGTGGTGCAAGGAGCTGCTCCCAACTCAGATGGTGACTTTTTTAGTATCTGCTCCTCAAGTGTTTTTTAGGGTTATTAGGAGGAGTAAGTTTGGGAATGCACCCTAGTGTATACTGTGCTTCAGTTTAAGACATATGCTCTGTCTAAGGAAAAAATGGTATCATGGTGTTAGAAAATAGTAAAAGCCTCGTTCTTCTCTGGAGAGTGTGCAAAGCAAACAGGAGAAGATTTATCCCCACAAAAACACCCAAAGCCCGTCAATGCAAAGTGGCATAACTGTCCTATGATGCCTTTCTCTTGCTTATTCCCTGGACCTTGTTAGCTGGTTCTTTCCTACCTTCCCATCAGCATGTTGGGTTTTCTGATATTCTCAGGGCAGGGAGAGGTTTTGTGTTATCCCTTTGCACAGCACTTTGCTGAAAGACTTTGACCTGTGGTGAATCCCTTAGTATATGTATGTTTCTTTACACTATTTAGAGCATTAACAATGCACCTGTCTTTAAATAGCACTTCATTGATTACATGTAAACTATAAAGAGTATTTTTAAGTGAGCATATAAATTCAAACCTATTTAATTTGACAGATTATTATTTTTTTTGTTCTATATTCATTTAGTGAAAAGATCTGAACTTCCAGCTTAAGAGGAAAGAAATTTAAGTTTTGTAATTAAAAATAATTTACCAATAATTTATCAATTTCTTCATCATAAAGCAAGATTTTAATGTATGTCCTTTCACAGAAAATCCTGAGTCAATACAACAATAGGAAGAATAAAGGACACAATTTAAAACTTCTAATTATTATCATTTTACTTCTAAGAAGGCAATAATAGAAAAGTTTTAATACCATTTAAAAATCATTCCTCTTTTGAGAAACATTTAGAGGATATAATGGTTTTTCATAAAATGCCTCCTTTGATTGATGAAAATAATTACAATACAGTGAGGAAACTGCATGCTCTGGTGTTCCACGTAGCATGGGACGAGCCATGGTATCAACACCTTTGTGTAGCTGTCACTTCCAGCAAAATATTTTCTAAGACAATTAAAATTCTTGGGACGTTTGCATTGCAGACTGAGGAATAATTTTACCCTCCTGGATCAGTTCAGCACGCAGTCAGGGTGGCTGTAATGCCAGGGTTCACGTGAAGGTTGCTACCTTCAGATCAGCTTCCCCGGGAAAAGAGGGAGAGGAGGGGAGAGAGGATCTGGTGTGAGAGCCGGGGGGTGCTTGGGACGGCTGTGGGGCTAGAGCTGCCACATCCGAGTGCCCCTGCAGTGACACAGCTATTCGCAGAATAAGTTTCTGGGGTTTTCTGCCAGAGACTCCATTGTCTGGGCATTTTGTTGTGCTTTGTTTGGTTTTGCGCTTTGTTTTCGTTTTGTTGTATTTTGGTTTTGTTTGCTTTGGTTGAGCTCATCTCTTGCCTTTGCTGACACAGTCAGGAAATATTTCTAAGGCCGAAAAAAATCCACCTCCTGAGTTTTTCTACTTAGGAGAATCCTCCAATGGATTTCTAATTTGCAAGAGGAGACAAAGGAGGAGGCTCTCTGCACTGAGGAGCTGGATTTTTCATCAGGTGATTCAGGAGAGTCTGAGCAAATTGACTTCTCCCATTGTCTCCAAAACAGTCATGCTGCCTCGGAGGGAAGTTGGGAGGAAAAATCATAAATCTTTGTGGAGCAATAAATAGAATATAAATGGATATCCAATGTGCCAGTGTTTTCAAGCTCACAGTCACACTGTGCTGGTCAGATTTGGAGTAGGAAGTAAAGACGATCGCTTAGCAAATCTGGCAGGAGCACAACAAAAATACTGTGAAAGATGACAGAAAATCATGAGTTTTCTATTCAAATCTGTCACAAATCTCAGGAGTAATATTTTGTATAAATATGTATCCATTTAAGGGAAGGAGGATAGTCTGCACTTTTCGGTGTTGCCCTCAAAAAATGACTTTGCTGTGCACATGTGTTAATACAAACACTGTATATTGTTGAATAAAATAGCTGAAGTTCTGTACAGGCTGGAAAATAATTTTGCTTTTGTTTCAGAAATAAAAGACCTTAATATTGTAGATTACTTAATGATAGTGTAATGACTAGGTTTACTAAATAAATAATTTCACTTTATGTGTTTTTTCTAGCAAAGCCAAATTCAAACTTTTGCCACCATATTTCATTTAAAAATGTCATCAACATTAAATCATTAAAAACTTCATAAATGTATTTACTACCAAATACCATGTACAAACAATGTTTTTTTAAAGAAAAGTTTAATGTTTACTTGGAAGATATTGAAATATCACACAAACCTATTTTTTTACTAGCAGTCTAGGTGCAAGAACAGCTTTCTTGTAGTTTTATTAGATACTGATGCATCCAGTTACACTGTCTCTTAATTAGCAGTTTGCATTTGTCATCCATTCTCCCACAGCAGCAAATGAGATATTAGCATTTTTCAGGGTGCTTAGAATAGAAGGCACATGTTATACAGGACATATGTGCTAAGTGTTGGCAGGGGTGGCTTTCTAAGGACATTATGTAGTAAATACATATACAAAAAAACCTATTGCCTGGTCGTTCAGTAAGAAAAAATTTATTTCTGTCTCATGGGTGTGTTGCTACTTTTGACTGGGCTGAATAGTTGTGGATAAATGGGGCATGTTGATACAGGAATAACTATAAGACTCTGTATGGTAATTTTGTTACTTTAAGTGTTTTAGTTTTGTACAATCATTTGTTACCTCAGATAAGATGGAAAGTACTGTATATATGCGCTATGAACACCCATGCGCATATATGGACATGTGTGAGACTGTACAAAATATACAAACACATACATATAGATATATATAGAGAGAGATCTGTATCAGCTTTGCTTCTCCTCCTCTTAGCTATGAAGGCTGTGCTGTAGGGTCAGACTGATAGAGATCTGAGTCGGCCGCATTCGGCCGTGCAGAGAGCGCCAGTGCAGATTCCAGCCCTGTGCAGCCGCTGCGTTCCAGGCATGCTTCATTTCATGGGAGTGTGCTGCTGGTCTTTTGACCTATATGCGGGCAAACTGAAAATAATTATCATCCTGAGGTTTACACAACTGCTTTGTTTTCACAGGACCCTCCAGAATCGTTGCACACCTCATTGCTGTAACTGCGTGAAGTAAAGGGAGGTATACTCCTTTCACAAACAGACATTAAAAAAAACACAAACAATAGAGAGCACTTAAGTGAAGTCAAAAGAGAAAGATGTAACATATAGCCAAAATAATGGACACTTAAAGTTTTGGTTTAAAATCTGACCATAAACAGCTGAGGGTAATCCAAAACTTGATATTGCATACAGGCATCTAGCAAGAATCACTGTGATTTGATTTAGCAGAAGCTAAACCTTCTGTTAAATCAATCAGAGTCTTTAACTGCCCTTGCTGCCTGGTGTGTGTACGCTCTGTGATGCTGAGATTGTTACTAGGGAAGCAGTATAATGCTGGAGCTGCATGAAGTGGGAGCTGGAAGCCAAGAATTTATTACTACAGTTTTCCCTATTCATTAGTTTGCTGCATGACCTTGGAGGGTGTCCATGTCATTGACTCTTGGCTTCTGCAGAGACACTATGCAAAGGCAGGTGTCCACCAAACTCTTTGCCATGCCACTTCTTGCTATTTACACCTCCCTGACCAGGTGGTTGTGGCAGAACTGCTGCCAAGCTGACTAAGAGAAGCAGGGAGCTGTGGCTGGCTGGCAGGGACAGCATGTAGGTCCTACCTAGCATGGAGCTGGTGAGAGAAGAGGGAAACTGCACTGCACCAGAAAGGGAGACAGCACTGCTGAGCACTGCCTGCCAAGTGCACTCAGCTGGCAAATACTGCACGGACCGGCTGCAGGCACAAACCTGTGCCCGTTTGCCCTTGATGTCTTACCCCTATCAGATGTTATGAATTCTGCCAGGAAGATGTCACAGCCTAAATAAGAGATAGGTTCACAAAAGCTTTTGGAGAGTCTGGAGAACAGCATACTTAGGATTTTTAATTTCGTTTTGCCCTTGTGGGTTCATTTCCTGAATGTGATACAAGAAACAAATCTTTAGGAAAGATCTGAGTTGGAAAGCAGCAGCATCAGAGCTGACAGAGTGCAGAGGATGGGCTCTCTGTGTAATGTAACAGGGAAGACACTGGGCCATGGATTTGTAACTGAGTGAGCTAATTGCATCTGATTTCTGTTGCTCGTGCAGCACAGAGAGAGTACAATGGAAGTCTAGATTGGAGATGTAGAAATAATAGGTGTTATAGTCAGTGTATAAGACTTGCTTCTTAAGGAAAGAATTAATCTATAAAAATGTTCTGGTAATATCATAAAGGTTTTTTCCAACAACATCTCAGTTGTCACTGAATTATTTCGGTAATTTTTTTTCTCTTCCTAAGCAGCTATCACTCATGCATTTGTCTTCAAGCTGAGATTTAGTCAGCTATTTCTCAAAGCTTTGTAATGATCTAGAATAAAGCAAAGCAGAACAGAAACTCTTCCAGTGATGCTTCCTTGTGGGCCATTTTGTTTCCTTGCTGAAGATATTTCTTTGCTCTAAAAGCTGAATGCTGGCATGTGTTGATGGCTTCGTATTACATTGTGATTCAGATCAAGAGTGTCACATCGAAACAAACCTTCTAGGCGTGCCCTCTCACTATGCTTTGATTAACATCCTGCTCTAGTTTTATTTTTGAAAAACCAACCAACCAACCAACCAACCAACCAAACAAACAAACAAAAGCAAACACAAAACAAAGCAAAAACACAAAACCAAACACATTTCTTTGGAGCAGAACTAAAGAACAATATATTGTCTAGGTGTTTGCCTGGTAAAGGGAAATTTTTCCTCAATGGCAGACTAGAGCTGTTCTGAAGTGCAAACCCTGAAGCGTGGGCCCTGGGTGCTCCACGCCACCTCCTTCACTCTGCACTCCCTCTAATCATGCAGCTCCACTTGCTTACACTTGTCCTTCATTGAGTCTTAAGTATGACTCTTTAGTCCTGCTTATTCGTATCAATTAATTCAGTATTACCTTCTCTGAGTCTCACAAGAGCAGCAGTTGATTGTTCCTTCACTTTTTACTTCAGAGACGCTTGCTGCTATTTGCATGGTTACATTTCTTTTAAAAATCTCTGCTTTATCCTATCAATTCAACACAATTCATCATCACATCATTCTCTCAATTGAAGCAGCATTCTTCTAAAAATAGACAGATGTTTACCTGAGTTTCTAAAGACAAATTTATGATAGATTCTTTCCTAAGGTGCTTGCCTTCCGAGGCACGCATAAGGTAAAACTATGGGGCTTACGGTAAACAAGCAGTTGGAAAAAGAGTTTCTCATAGTTTTCAAAATTGTTCTCTAACAAAATTTGAGGAGAAGATGTGAATTAAAGAGGTCAGAATAGAGGTGGTGATCAGAAGAGATGGAGTTTTGCCACTGATTTCAGCAGAATTAAGAATTTACTCAGGAAGTGTTGAAGAAGGATGAAGAAAGCCTCTCTGAGAAGTGGTAGATAAAATGCTTGGGTAATTCAGAAGCTATTGTGAAAATAGGTTGTGTGCCTCCTAGAGATGCCAGGACACAAGATGACCCAAGGAGAAGGTGAACATGATCATGTAAGCCTTCAGAACATTGTTGAATTTAAACGATTTTCCCATGGTATTTACGGAATATTTCCCTGATGAAAGCTGATGGTTATCTTTTATATTATTATTTATGCAAAAGTTATTGCTGACACTATAATCTCTGCTTTAAAGTAAAAGATAGCTCTTAATCAGATTTTTACCCTCCATGAATGAGGTAATGTGTGCTTTTTCCTGGTATTGGTATTTTTGGTTTATTCAGGTTCTTTGCAAATGTATTTGTGCTCCAGACAGATTTTATTACAGCTAATAGGAAATAAAACATGTACTTATTTTAAAATTGGTCCAATATGGAAAAGATATTTTAAGATCAGTGCTAACAATGAGTGATATTATACAAACCACTGGGATAAAATTCCTTTCAAAGTGATGTGAGCAACATGTGAGCTATTCTGAATCATCATGGTTATGTTGTTAACTCACCTGCCAGGGATAGATCCACAAGGAACAAACACATTTTGATAGACAATAATACTTTTACTCCCTCTATTTGTTGTTTGTGAGTATTTTTGTTGATGTTTATTTTTTCATCAAGTTCTGTTCCCTTCCCTAAACTACCCACGTGCTTCACGTATAGGTTCTTTTTCTTTTTTTTTTTTTTTTTTCTAGAAATAATAGTTTTCCTCTGCAGTGTGCTGAAATATTTTTTCTTATAAAGAGATGATAAATCTCTCCCTTCCTTATGATCTGCTGACATATTTGTCTTTGTTCCAGTTGGTAAATAGAATTGATATTATTGGTAATTTATGCTGAGGGGGTGGGTCAGAGAAACCAGAAAGAAACATGAAGGGCTCCAAGTTTTAAGAGGTCTTTTTCTCTCCTTACAGTGTGCCCTTATCCTTGCAAAAGACAATGGGTGAGTCTCAATACCAGAATGCTTGTAGTTATTTTTACATGTTGTCTGTGCTGTTCACAGCATGCTATGCCATTTTGGAGGATCTCAAGCCACTCTGACCTTATGGCCCTTCACCATGCCTTGGAACTGGAGTACTTGTAGCAGCTCAACAGCACTTTGAAACCCCAGAGCCTCCTTCTGCCCGTGGACGGGATGCCTGTGTCTTGTGTCAGCATTGGACTACAGAACTTTGTGATTTCAACATGTTGACGTACAGCTGCAATTGGTCTTAACCCTTGCCCTTTCAGTAAATGGAGGAGCATGTCTTTTTCTTCAGAACAGCTGTTGACTCTGGTACTGGGAGTCCAACGAAAATAAGCCATGCAAATGTTTGAACAACTCATCTTTCCCATATTCGCTACCAAAAAGAAATAGAGAAGGACAGAAAAAAAAGAAAAAAAGGAAAAAAAAAAAAAAGGAAAAGGAAATAAAAGGTTCATACCTGTGAAGATAAAAAAGGACCTGCAAATGCTTTGTAGTTTCTAGATTCTTCAGTGTGACACACACCATTTCTTGAACACAGCAAACTTGATTGCACAATGAAGACTGAGATTTTTCAAAATGCCAGTGGAGTAATTTTCTTGTAAAGAAGGTTTACTTTTTGGTTTCTCATACCCAGGGTACTCTGTACATCTTTACTTATTTATGAACAGACTATATTTTGACATCATGTAACTGAGGATATGTATAATAGGATTAAAGGCTATTATAAGCCTTTGCCTTATGGTACAGTAACTACTTTTGATTTTAGCACATTACAGAGTAGTGTCTAATTATGTCTAATTTAAACTAATAGGTACATCACTGAGACAATCATGTACAGGAAGAATTTTTTTGTGTAAATTTGTAATAATGAATGATTCTTTTACATATTGTGAAGGTAAATGCTATTGAAAGATAGTAATGCCTTGTTGGTGAAGAATGAGGCCACGTGTGCACAAACTGTTGTGCAGTGCCTTATCAATGTGTTGGATATAAATATGTAGATAATGGATTTTTTTAGATAAATTTGTCAAGACCAAAAGCATGGATGTCAAGTGTCAATACGAATTGGGTTTTGTTCTTCTCAGCTGTTTCTCTACCTTTTTCTTCTCTTACCTGCTCTTATTTTGAAAAGACTGATTTATTTCCCTCCACAAAGTAAATACAGAAAAAACACCACTGAAGAGGAGTTCTTTGCTGTCTTCTTTTCCCTCTTTTACAGTCAACATATTAACCCTTTTTAAAGTATCGAAATAAGAATTATCAGATTCGTTCCAGAAAGTAATAGAGAGAGAACACGTATTTTAAGACATGACTGAAACTGGAATCTTGGTACCTAATAGTTTTTTGTCTCATACAAAAAAGAAGGAAACTGTCATCATCATTATTTCTAGAAATTAGAAATGGGAATATTTTGGAGAAATTGAACAATTATACATTTAAGTTTTTTAATCCTCTTCCACCAGGAGTCAGATTTTCCTAAGATATAGCATCCATTGCCGGCAATGGAAATACTGAAATAGTAATTGCCAAGGAGTTAAAAATTTGCTTTTGTCTATACCCATTTACAGGACAAACTGTCCTGTAAATGTCTGTCTGTGACTTGTGACTTTTCTAATCTTGAAGGCCATGAGCTACTTGGTCAGATAAACTGTTAGTCTAACTTTTCAGCTTGAAATCTACCAATTCCCTTTGCCCAATTTAAATCTCTTCATTAAAAAGAAGCCTCAGCTTTGTTGGTTTGTTCTCCTGCTTCCCTTCTTTTTTTCTTTTGCTAAAAACACCAGCCTTGAAACAGCTACCTGCAACGGTACAGAGCACCAATGTAGCTACACACCAACACCCTTCTCTTTTGGAGAAATCATATTGCTGCTAGAATTCAATGTTTGTGGATTGCTTTATTACCAACAGAGAGGCTTTTATCCTACCAAGACTTGCACATGTGCTTTACCCAGTGTGAGTGCTGGAACTGAAGCAGTACTCACATGCATACATAAAGCACGTCGTGGGTAGTTTTTAGAATTGAGACTATAATTAGCCTTTTTTTTTCCTCAAGCAAAGTAGACAGTGATGGGAGGGTTGGTTTTCTTTTTTTTTTTTTTTTTTTTGGGGGGGGGTGGGTTTTTTTGGCTCTTCTCAATTTTTAGTCACTCATGGACTGAAAAAAAAACAGTTTATCTGGGCCTTATTGTACAAAAAGTGTGTTGTGTCCACAATTCTGTACAGAGTTTTTCTTCATTAATTTTGTTTTAAATTAATAAAATTGATTTGTGAAAGTATTTAACAGTTGTATGCAATTTTATGATATTTCTGCCCTCTGGGTTGGGAACAAAGAGACATCTCTCATCTCTTTGCCATCACAAGGCAGAAGTTGTTCACTTGCTTGTGGCAAGCTGAGATGTTAAATAGGATTTAAAAAATTCATCTAGTTGACAAAAGGCTCAGTTAGGTGGGCAGCAGTTGTTTTGCTTGGCAGGAGCTGGAGAAGGTCAGTGCAGAAGAGGGACTTGGAGCCTGAGCTTTAGGTGCCACTGTACTTCTGGGTGTCATCAGTCTGTGTGCTGAATGGATGAGTCCTATTGGTCAGACATCTCAATCAGGGCTACAGCAAACCTCCCATCCTCTGAGGATCTACAGTCCTGAATGTCTCTGGGAATTAAGGACTGGTATTTGTCTTTTGCAAGCACAGAGCAGGGCCACCCTTAAAATCAGGGGAAGAGTGACGGTGCCCACCACTTCATAGCAGGCGCTTTATTGTAGACCCATAAAGTATTGGTCCAGGGTGTGGGTTTTGTTCACTCTTCTAAGGAGAGGGAGGGGCATGGCCAAACCCACATCTCACTTTCCACAAGTTTATCATAATTAATAACTTCTAGGTTAATCTGGCCAAGAAACATTGTGCACTTTTCCTGGTACTGCTGTGTCACCCTGCACAAAGGGATTAGCTGAGCCAAAAACTGCAGAAAATGTCAGAACCAAAGAGTGAGTAAGGCTGCACTGAAGGGAAAAGGAGGATTAGCCAGGAGGAGAACATGCCTCTATCAACCATGCATGGTTGTTTCACAGTGGCTACTGAAGAGCCCATGAGTGAGAACCTAGAATGGAGGCTGATGGGCACTTGTGCTCACTTTCAGGTCTAGGGAGACCTGAGTTTTGTTGCTACATTGTGGAACAGCTTCCAAAGGAGAGGTGAACAGTGCTGCAAGCTAAGAAAGACGCTACTTAGTCAAGTATGGGTGTGTGTGTTCTCAGACAGAAAAGGGATTAAGTCAGTATAACTTCTTTATGAACTAATTGTCCAGTTATAGCAGTAGTCACCAAAAGGAGTGCATTGCATTCATTTCCTGCACAGCACAGAATTAACTGATGTCTGCCGTGTTTTATGAGCAACTTGATCTTACTGGCATCTGAGGTGCTGGAAGTGCCTGGCAAGTCAGGTCCTTAGGAGATAGAGGAGAAGATATGCCTGCTTTCCAACTTTCTGTTGGCCCTGGGAGTGAGCTGAGAAGCAAGGCTGGGCATGTAAAGAGGTGAAACAAATAAGTGCAAATATCTGATTATTTCAGGTGAGGAACAGGTTGATAATTTTATTGTAAAAACTGCCTAAGTCTCACTTTAAATAACCTGATTTATTTCTGTACCTAGCTTTTAATATCTCCCTCAGTCCCATGAAAGAGGACATTAGCCAGCATAAAAGGTTATGGGAAACAAACTAAACGGTTTTATTATCAACCTCCATCTGCCAAACACGATTTCTTTCTTGTATCTTCTGCACTTTTGCCTTTCTACCTCCAAATGTTTACCTGGGTATTGTTCTGCTGTAGCTTGTTCTTTGGCAATGCTTGTTGCAAGATCTTCAGTCCCACTGTGTGTGAACTACTCAAGTTCTACTATGCCACCAGGTGCCAGAAATTATCTTCCCTTACAAAGTTACTTACCCTCAGAAGGTTCAAAGTGCATTTTTCTCTTGTTTCAGAAGAATGGAACAAATTCTTCCAAACAGTAAAACTCTGGAACAAGCATAGTGACTGTAATTCCACGAGGTTTTGCAATTTACTTCTGCAAATGATAAACAAAGCCTCCAACATTTGCTGTTTCTGGTTCTTACTAGGACAGAAACCTTTTGGAGATTGAAAGCCCCTTGCCAGCTGGCCATGCTTTAAAAACGCCATTCCTAAAGCTATTACTCCCCACAATGCACTGAATGCAGTGCTAAGGTGTGCTCCTTCTCCGCCCATGATGATGCACAGCCTGTTCTATTGAACTAATTTTGGAGGTTTTGGTGTTTAGGCTGGTGGATGATCACAATGTTTTAAAGGCATCCTTTTTCATCATTGCTTCTGATCTCAGAGTAGTCTTAAACCAAGAACATGAAATTGCAAGTGTTGCTTAGCTCCAAATATTTGCTTCCAAAATGTTGGAAGACCTGTAGCTGAAATACTGTCAACAGAGGCTATGAAGCCTCAATATTCTACACTGTGAATCAACTCCTCTGATACGTGAGTACACATATATTGAAAAATGTTGCCTCAGGTCTCTCATATCTTTTAAACTTTTGCATCTTATAATGATTATATATACAGTACTATTGCTGGTTTTGAGGCAAAATAATCCAGATGCAATATATTATTCTCCTGTAATCCATTAGAGCACTGAGTTTACAGTGGCTAATCACAGTAGCATTTTACAAACTTTTACTTATAATGTGAAGATGAAATTGAGTTTTTTGGTTATATTTCCATCCCTGTCTTTTAAAGCTGAAAACCTAATAAATGCAAGCAAAAATAAAACCAATCAAGGAACTGCTTCTGGATATTTGGCACCCCCATGGAAGTTGGATGCTCAGAGTTAAATTATGTCTATATGGTTTCTGCAAAGCACCAATGGTTCTAGTATGCTGCAATAGGCATTTAAATCCCTCTAAAGTCTTTGGCTTCCTTTTCTGAATGGTCAGAAAGTTGATTCTTTATAAGGAAAATCAGAAGACCCTATTTATATAGAAACTTTGTAAGAAAGCAGGGATTCCTGTAGGGTGAAGAACGTCATATGATGTAGGTAGCTTGTAAGCTTGAGGTCTGCTTTTTGGACCTTGTCAGTACCGCTTGAAGGTTCAATTTCTT